TTTTTTTTTTTTTTTTTGGTAGTATTGAAAGTTAAAAATTTACGAAGCGAAGGAAAAAATTTGTTTACAACTCGATAAGGGATTTTGACTTTTTTTTTTTTCGTTTTTTTTTTGCTTCGTCGTATCTAGAGACGAGGTAATCTATTATTTGACGAATTTTCGTAATTACCATGTCGCCGGGTTCTCAATTCGAAGATTTTCTTTTTTTTTTCCTATTCCCCCGAACGCTCCTGCCATCTCGATCTCGTCGATAGTCCGATTTTTCTTTTGCTGCGACGCCATTGTGTCTCGACCATACGGGATACGCTCGCCATTAAAATCCATTGAATGCATCGGAAACCATTGAAACGCGATCTGCCGGTAGAGGCGCCCTTGTAGCCTGCCAGGACGACAGCTGTGAACTGGTGGCCAAGCCTGTATGTATATACTTGCCATTCGCTATGTACTGTGTATATACTATGTGGACACGTGATATACGCGTAATACATATTTATGAATAGACACGTGAAATTCGAGATACGCGTGTAAGTGCTATGGTGTTACACGTGTGATTAGGCTAGGCCGGGTTAGGTTAGGTTCGCCCGGGACGTAAACTGAAAAAACATCCGTTTCACTGGGATTCACACGGCCGAAATGCATTTGCCTCTGTCCGTGTAGATTCCATTACTTGGAGGCGCATTGGTCAAATTGTGCAGATCTGATTATTCGGTGAAACAACCGACGCGGCCGGCCTTGCCCCTTGCCGAATGTCACTCTACGCCATTGGACGGAGAAGATACATTGGCAATTTTTCAGGTTGTACCCTTTACCCGTAGGCAGCGGTTACACTTGCTTGCTTGTATCCAAGCTGGATCTGCTTTTTTTCTTTTGTTTAATTTTTTTTCGAATTTTTCGAAAATCCCACGTTGGATTGTCTGACGAGAATCAATAGTTGCAACGAGTTTTATTTCTGCGTTGCCGCACGGAGTTACGTGCAACACGTGCCTATAACTGTGTAATGCACTACACAATACGTATACGTGTAAGCGCACATGGCAACGTCGCCATTATGCATGTAGGATAGAGCGTTGGTTTTATCCCCTTTTCGTATATAACCCTCCAGCCATTCGACCGCGTCTACTCATCCATATCGGTCCATCCAGCAATCGTATCCAATCCTTAGGAAAATGTCAGCCCTAGGATCTTTAATCGAATGCAAATCCTTCCGTGGCATAATAGGAGACGCTCGATATCTCATGTGAAAATATAGTCGGTTCCGATGAAATGTAGCATTGCCCGTCGATTATCCAGACAATCTTTTAATACGCATGCGAGTACAGTCCACGACAAAAATACTTGTTCGGTCACCAGATGTCCATTAATGGTATCCACGTTGCTTCGTACGCGGACCATCAAAGTCGGTCTACGCGTGTCAATTTCATTTTCACATGTCGACACGGCTCGTTCGCTATCATATAGGACTTTACAAAATGGCTTCTATATACGGTAAGCGCCTGTCCTTATGTACGCGTCGGGTGGTAAGTTGTGCCTATGACGAGGAGGTGGGTGCGTGGCGTAATTATTTACTTGGATCTAGGGTAGAACGTACGGGTGTCAATTTTTCATCAATTTCCGAACCCACCAATATGGGTATCCTGCGTCTATCCGAGGCAGCTGCAGGTCTCTCCTGGCGTAGCCTTAGCGTTGGTTATGCCGTCTACACATGTACGTCGTGTGTGGCGATCGATTTTGCTCGATGCCTTCGTTCTCCTTCCTGCTTTTTCTCCACGAGCGTCAACTATTCAAAGTCTGAGCACTGAGTCTTCTGTACCTCGTGTGCGCCATCTTGTTGCGTTCGGAAAAACGATGGAAGCTGCGACGAGGGGCCGATGGGAGGGGAGGGGATTCGTTCGGCGTATTCTTAACGTTTTTCCTTCCGTCCGTGCACAGTGCGAGTCTGTCGTTACGTAATGAGTTTGTAAATTCTTTATCAGCTTTACGAACGCCGAGCATTATAATTCAATCAGTCACAGAGTCTCTTCGATCATTGACAGCGAAGGCTAAACTGCCTATAACCGAAAGTCAAGCTTTTGATAGTTTTCAGTTTCTCTGGGGGTCCCTGTGATAATGCGAAAGTCGGTAAAGCAGAGATCTACCCGGCGAGTAGTATAAGTACGATAAAGCTCGGTGCCAAAGGATTTACAAAAAAATGACGAGTGATTATGTCGAATTTTTTTTTTGAAAAAATAATCTACTCCACCATTTATTAACGGACTGTATATGCTTATCCCTTGTGGGGTACTTTTATCTAGATTGCATATGACGTAATTGCTATTGGGGTTGGTCGAGCGCGATAGTCACGGAGTATGCTTGGGTGTACTTGGTTCTGTCCGGTGAACCAGCAAGAGGGAAGGAGAAGCAGGCTGGAGTATTGTTTGAATATCGCGCATGTATTTAACGAGGCGTGAAGTTTTTGCGAAAATTGACGATTACAACCTTAAGGCATGTCCCCATTAAATCGTCGAGCGCGTAGTGCGAGATTTGCCTTTTGTATGGGTATTCGCAATGGCAATTCGTTTGACAATCAGACGCGACCAACGGGTACCGACCGTTTCTACGTTATTTGTCGTAAAGACCGAAGTCGCTGATTTATTCTTTGAGAAAATAAAAAAATAAAATATTCCAAAAAAGAGAAAATAATAAAATACAAGTACACGAATTTTCATCGAAATCGGTGTCATTAAGCGTACCGGAAGTGACGTATGTCTCTCGGGCACCCCCCGTCGCCCGAACCATCTAATTTTTTTTTTCTCTCACGGCGAAAGTAAAAACATGAGGAAGTAAGAAAGAAAAAGGAAAAAAAAACTATTAAGCGCCGCGCAATCCGTTTCGAAAGCCGCGCTCGAAGAAGACACTGACCCAGATACCTACATACGTATACGAAGGTCGCGCGTACATATAGTCGCACGTATGTAGGTACACATGTCGAAGGAGTACATAGGCGCCATTATATGCATCTACGTGCATAGGTCGGAACATAAAACGAGTCGAGTATGTGTTTTCCCCTGTTACCCACACAGTCTCTATACCGGCCTCATCGTGGTACAGTCCCCATAGCTATATACGTCTTTTACCGACGTTCCTGTGTTTACTATGTATGTGTGTGTGTGTGTGTGTGTATATATATACGCACGCATGTACACGCACTCGTTCTCGTACATATGAACGCCTTGGTGCGTGGCTGCTGCCGCCCCACCCCGCGCCTTACGAGTGTGTAGCAGCGTGTTGCCAGGTACTATATGCTCGCGCGCATGTGTAACCGGCTTTACGTTTATGAATGAACGTAGGAAATATATATGTATTTATATATGTTTGTCTTTGCATATATACAAATATATATATATATATTCACATAAAAAGAATCGATAAGTTATATGCTCTGTATATACATGTATAAGTATATAGAATGTTTATATTTTCCGAACATATCGACGGTACCTCCCTATTCTACTAAAACTTATTAGCCGTGTTTATTTTCCTTTTTTTTTTACGTCTAGGCGCTATTTATTTCGATGGAGGGGTATAGCGGCGTTGATTTATGCTCGAATTTATTTTTATCGCTTTAAGGACGGCGCGGAGGGGGGGGGGGG